ACACACACACACACACACACACACACACACACACACACACACACACAACAGACAGTAAAATAATTTTCCACGTCACCTAAAAGCATCTTGCAGATACCAGCAGCATGTGCGTTACCCTCTGGGAACCACTGGGCCTGACGTGAGCCTAGGCATGCGTTGGTTCCTCCGAGCCCTGGAAAAGCCCCCAGTCTCTCTTCCAATGGGACACACCCAGTTAGTGACCATCCCTGGCCCTCTGCTTCTCTCGCCTTAGCAAATAGCCATGGAAGAGCTACTGACAAAGTCACACCACAGCACAAAGCTGGGCTGCCCATGCTTCTCCCCGTCTCGGCCACCAGGACCCAGGGCTTGGGAGGACTTAAGAGAATCACTTTGTAGAAGGGCGGGTCCCCTGGACTTAGCAGCATCAAATGCCCTGACTCCCAGCCCTGTGTGCCCCGTGTGGCCATGGGTTCCACGCCCATTGCCTCTCTGATAGCCTCCTTTGTAAAACAAGGACTTGGATCGAGTTCTAAACTAGTTACAAGAGCTAACATCCATTATTCACCATATGTCATGTGAGCACTCACGCGGACCAACTCCTTTAATCCCGTCAGCCACCCAAGGAGAGGGTATATGACCATTCCCAGTTTTCAGAGGAGGCACAGAGAGCTAAGAAACTTGCTGGAGGTCACAAAACCAGCAAGTGGCAGGGGCAGAATTTCAACAGAGGCAGGCTGGCTCTGGGGTCCTTGTTCTTAGCCAGAATGACCCAAAATCCCAGGCAAAGAGTGAGAAGAAAGGTGATGCAGTTTGAATGTGTGCCTCCACCCAAACCTCAAGTTGAAACATAAGCCCAGTGATGGAGGTGGGAGGAGACTGGATGACGGGCGGATCCCTCATGAATGGTTTAGCCGTCCTTGCTACAGTGAGTTCCTGTGAGATCCTGTTGTTTAAAGCCGGTGGCACCTCCCCTCCCTCCATCTCTGGCTCCCGCTCTTGCCGGGTAATATGCCTGCTCCCCTTCCCCTTCCGCTTTGATTGGAAACTTCCTGGAGCTTCTCCAGAAGCTGAGCAGACGCCATGCTTCCTGTACAGTCTGCAGAACCACGGGCCAATTAAACCTCTTTTCTTAAGAAATTACCAAGCCTCGGGTATTTCTTTTTAGCAATGCAAGAACAGCCTAATACAAAAGGGACCTCCTGCCCCAGATCGTATGCTTTGATTCATTTTGCAAGCATTCACTAGGTACTCGGCACCGGTCGGAGAGGTCGGAGCGCGTGCTATTGGGAGAGTGGGGTTTGGGTGACAGGGATGTACCTTCCCCAAACCTTCCTGTTCCACAGCCTCCCCAACTTCTCTTGCTGCAGGGAAGGTTTCAGAGTTCATTTACTGAGGAAGGAGACCCAGGCGTCTAGGATCACCTCCCCCTTGACTTCCACACTGCATTTCAATAAAAGAAAAGGTTGGCCATCTGGTGCCTCCTAAATCACCTTCCTGTAAATAGCAGGCATGGTGTGGGGGAGTCTCTCCAGAAGACATTGTTTTTACTTAAACAAGATCAAAACTCCACCCCACTCCTCCATCTGCCAAGACCCTTTCATATGTGATTTCAAAACTGTAAACCCAAGACCCTTTCATTTGTGATTTCTAAAGCTGTAAACCCAGGACCCTTTCACCTGTAATTTCTAAGGCTGTAAACCTAAGATTCTTTCATGTGTAATATCTACAGCGTAAGCCTATATAGACAGAGCTTCTCTTGGTTAGACGAGCTTGGTCATTTAGACAAATTGTCGCCTGGCTCCCGGCCATAATAGTAGTAATAATATAATCATAAACACCTCTTCCCTCCCAGTGTTTGAAAGGTCCGTTTTTCGAGGCCGATCCTGCTTCATTACCACCCTGGCAAGAAAGGGTGGCCACAGCATCCTTACCTGACCCCAATCGTGAACATACTGAGGAGCTGTTTCCCTTGCAACCAGCCAATGAGCATGATGAGACCTGGGAAGAGAAAAAAAACGACCTTATCTCCATATGCACAGCTCACGCTGATGCCTGGAGGCAATTCGAACCCACTTCCTTAAAGAGTTTACAGGACACATGCACAGAGAAACCACTGATAACCTCAAACACTTTCAAAGCCTCTCCTTTTTTCTCTCTAAGGGAGATACGTTTACACCTAAAAAAAAACCTGGTCTTACTTTCTCAGGAAAGGTCCAAGCCAAGTTTAAGTTAAAGACCTGATTCATTTATTTTGGACTGTACGCAAGCATTTACATCTTATTCCCAAAGTTTCCCACCTGCTGTGTGTATCCAGGACACGCCCCTGTGTGGTGTTTGGTGTGGCCAAGGCAGCTGCTCCTGTGATGGGCAGATGGGCCACTGTTTTTTTAAAATTATTTTATTCTGTGGCACTCACGACTAAACATACTCCATTTCCATTTTCCTTCATCAATAATTTACCAAATATTTACTGAGCACCAGGAACTTCCCTAGGTGTAGGGGACAGGGAGGTGATCACAGATAGACCCTCAAGGCAGTCTGTGCTCAGCATAGCTCCTGGGTCACAGCAAACACCAGCCTAATCGTTAACTCTTGTTGCCATCATTATCAGAAGGAGTGAGCAGGGACTGGGAAGGTGGGTGGGGTTGCCGGGTGACACCCTTGGAGAGCTTGCTAAAGAACATCACCTTTGCTTTGCCGGGGACAGGGAGCCAGGGATGTTTTCTGCTGGGTGGTAGTGGTGTGTGTGCATATGTGTATTGGAGGACGGGGCTGCCACAGTATCTGGTAGTTTTGTTTTGGGCATCCTACAATTAGCTATTAAACTCAGTCATCAGCTGAAATCTTAGCCAGAGCCCAAATGAACTCAAATGAAACAGATGAGCAGGGAGAGCGCTATTGGAAGCAGGGCTGAGGCAGTGAGCCTGGAGCCACTCCCGCTGGGAACTTACCCCACCCTCGTGGCCTTCCCATAGTAGAAGGCTGGAGATTCCTCACAGGGGCTCACAAGAATCAACTATGATCATCTCTTCCAAAATCCCTGTTCAGTATCTACATATTAGTAGCTTGAAATGGCCAAGCAGAGAGTATTTACAACACGGGACAAAAGGCAAATGTTACTTTCCCCTAGAAGTACTGACAAGCATGGCGTTGCTTCCCTGCACCTGCCCTTGGGCCTTCTAGGGGGTCCATGGGACTGAGTTTCAAACTCTCCCTCTGCTAGAGCAGTTCTCAAAAAAAAAAAAAAAAAAAGGCCAGGCGTGGTGGCCCAAGCCTGTAATCCTAGCACTTTGGGAGGCCAAGGTGGGTGGATCACTTGAGGCCAGGAATTCAAGACCAGCCCTGGCCACTATGGCAAAACCCTGTCTCTACCAAACATACAAAAATTAGTCAGGCATGGTGGCACACGCCTGTAATCCCAGCTACTCAGGAAGCTGAGGCAGGAGAGTCACTTGAACCCAGGAGGTGGAGGTTGCAGTGGGCCAAGATTGCACCACTGCACTCCAACCTGGGTAACAGAGCAAGACTCCAACTCAAAAAAAAAAGTCTGAGTAGTATCACAGGCCTTGCTGTGGACATGTCAGTTTCAGTTCTAATTTAACTACAGAAACACGGGCTTACATAATCTGTTTCTCCCAAGACCGTTCTCTGGCTCCACAGTTTCGGCCACACTCACCAGCACCTTCCTCATTATTGCACGTGCTATAGGCAGTGGCTTGTCGCTTTATTCCTTGTTTAAATTTTTCACTCAACAAATGTTTCCTGAGAATCTATCTATTAGAGGCCAGGCACTGTTTAATCCTTAAGGCTGGAATAAAGGACACAGAAGCAAGGCCAGAGCTGGAAACAGCAGGAAGAAGCTTGTGAAGGGACTGGGCAGCACCATGGGGATGTTAAGGCTTAAGATCTAGATTCAGGGCTGCAGTATTATGTCAATGCTGTTGAGCATGTTACCAAAGGTCAGGAAGTCCCAGCCCAGGCACAGGCTGCTTAGAAGCATAGAAATATGGTTGAACGCACAGCTAAACTACATTTCCCAGTCTCCTTTGCAGTTACATAGGCCACGTGACTCCATTCTGGCCAATAAAAGATGGGCAAATTGATGATTCTGCTTCCTGGTGTAGGCCTTAAAAAGGTCCCCCCACAAGCCTCCATGTTCCCTCTTTCACCGTCTGCTGGCTGAACAGAAGTATGGCCTCCAAGGACCCAGAGGAAGACAGAGCAACAAGTCAGTGCTTATAAGGGAGCTATCCAGGAGAACCAGTGGACCAGGAATACCCACAGACTGTGGCATGAGCAAGGAACAAGCGTTTACTATATTAAGCCAAGAAAATGTAGGGGCTGCTTCTTACAGCAGTCAGCCTGGTCCAACTATACAGAAAGCTCTTGTTGCTTTTGGACCACCTCTGATCCCAATCCCCAGGCCTTATTCAGCTGAGTAGCAAGATATTTGAGAAACGGCCATGGTGGCCACCCCGTGATGTCTCCCTTCCACCTGCAGAGCATTTACACCTTATTCCTAGAACCCGGTATGGAAACTGCTTCACTCACCGATTATGCCAAAGGAGAAGAGTGTCAGTTGCTTTCCTAGCCTGTCCATGCTTTTCTGCAAAGGAGTTTTAGGTGTCTGAAAGGGTGAGCACAATGGGTTAGTTGGACAACAGCCCAGCTTCTGCCTGCCTTTGTTCAAAATGTCTTCACCTTGCCATCCTACAGCTTGAGTGAGTATGGGGTACACATATGTCAACATTCATTGACTTCTTAACTGAAGATCTGTGCATGTTACTGTCTGAAAGCTGTTATCTTTATGAAAATGCTAACGAATGTCTTAAATGTTTAAAAAGAGGCCAGGTGTGGTGGCTCACGCCTGTAATCCTGGCACTTTGGGGGACTGAGGTGGACAGATAGACTGCCTGAGCTCAGGAGTTCGAGACCAGCCTGGGCAACATGGCGAAACCCTGTCTGTATATAAAAAAAATTAAATCTTTAAAAAGTATACTCACATTAACCACATGCCCCTCATTCCTAAGGAGTAGGCAGGGCTGGTATTATTTGCCTATAATCATCTCAAACTCAAAAATCCCACAGCCCCCTCCTGCCCCTTACCTCTTCAGCCTGCATCATCTTAAACACTTCTCCAAATTGAGAGCTTTCCCCTGTTCCAATCACGACCCCCTGTGTCCAGGAGAGAAAGAGAAGTATGAAATGTAACGGCAGGGAGTCTGTGGGTTATGGGAGCCCAAGACCTCAGAGCCCCAGGGCTTACCCGGCCCCTCCCATACTGCACCAAGGTCCCCATGAAGACAATGTTGCTCAGGGTGGTGAGGTCCCCGCCGCCTGCCAAGGGGCTGTCTGTTTTACTGCATGGCTCGGCTTCCCCGGTGAAACTGGATTCATCCACCAACAGGTCCGTGACCTAGGAGAGCAAGGGGAAAAGCCTGTGGAATCTCCCTGTCACCCCAGGAATTGGTGTTAAAAGCACAAAATGGGACCAGCACCTCAATGGACATGAAACACAGAACACAGGGAACTCGGAATGAGTGTCACAACAATGGCCTCTGGGTCCTTCAGGGTTGGAAACGCTTTCAGAGAGTGGCCCCTCTTACAAACTTAAAAGCCTCATACCTTCTCTAAATATTGTTTGAAATTTGGATACAATCTAAAAAAAACAAAAGCGATGGTTATTTTAGGAAATATCTTTCAAAACACCTGTGTGCATGCCCTCACAGGCAGTCCACTCTTCACCTTGGAGATGCCTGTACCAGCTGTGCGGCTCCCACACAGTCCCTGAACCGGCCTATTCCATCAGAGTCTACGGCAATATTATCACCGGAAACACAGACCGGGAGGCAGAGACACCCACACTCCCTGGGAAGAGGAAGGGAGGTCCTGACATTTGCAGAATACAGACTATGTGCCAAACCCTGTGCTAAGCTCCCCGCAAGGCTTAGCTGTCAGACTTCGCCACCCCCAATGAAAGATGCTATTATCGTCCCCATTTTGCATATGGGGAAACTGAGGCATGGAGGGATTAAGTAATTTGTTCAAGTTTCCACAGCTAGTTAGCGGCAGAACAGAGATTTGAACCAACGCTCTGGTTCCAGAAACTATACTCTTAACCATCTTGCAAAACCACAACTTGACCTCACACTTAGCACGCATCACTCCCAAGGTGAGGCTCCCGGGGCCAGAACCAAGCCAGACGCCTCTAAGTTCACAGAGTGGGGCTAGGGTGGGCCTAACCCTTGGGACCTGGTCACGTAGGGATGTAACACCAACCTAGAGGGAAGCCATCTTCCACAAAGCGCCAGTGAACCAGTTAGATCAGTGATTCCCAAACAGGGGCCTGTGACTTCTCTATAATTTAAAAATGTTTAAATTTAGTAATAATCTTTTAAATATGTGCACTGCCATAGGATCTCAGTCCCCAAGAATGACAGGGGCCACCACTTGTCCAGGCAATGCCTGTCTCCCCGCTTCCTTCCTAATGGACCCCACAGTGTTGGGGAGGCCAGGCCCTGCTGCACGGCCACGTTCCTGCCTCCTGTGGCTCCCACGGGTCCAGCTCTGGACAATGAAGCATAAGAAGTCACTGAGCCGGGTGTGGTGGCTCACGCCTGTAATCCAAGCACTTTGGAGGCCAAGGCGGGTGGATCACCTGAGGTCAGGAGTTCAAGACCACCCTGACCAACATGGTGAAACCCTGTGTTTATTAAAAAAAAAAAAAAAAAAGAAGTTACTGAGTGATGCTGGGGAAAATCTTTGAAGGAGGCTCAAGGAATATTCTAGAAAATACCTGGCTGGTGCTCCTCAAAACTGTCGAGGTCAGGCGGGTTGCATTGGCTCATGCCTGTAATCCCAGCACTTTAGGAGGCCGAGGCAGGCAGATCACTTAAAGTCAAGAGTTCAAGACCAGCCTGGCCAACACAGTGAAACGCCGTCTCTACTAAAAATACAAAAATTAGCCGGGCATGCTGGTGGGTGCCTATAATCCCAGCTACTCAGGAGGCTGAGGCAGGAGAATCACTTGAACCTGGGAGGTGGAGGTTGCAGTGAGCCGAGATCGTGCCATTACACTCCAGCCTGGGCAACAAAAGTGAAACTCCATCTCAGGGACTCCTCTGAGCACTGGGAATACAGCAGTGAATGGGATAGAATTCACGATGCTCCATGGAGGACGGGGAGGGACTGACGACAGGCCAGCACTGGAACGAACACCAACGTGCACAGAGCAGGGAGGGAGGCCCCTCAGAAGAGGCTGTGGGGGGAAGGCCTGGGAGGAGGGACAGGAGTGGAGGCCTCTGGGAGACAGGGTGACTCACATGTGCTGGGGAGGGGGCTTCAAGCACCCCCATGGCGGCTGAAAGCAACAACTTATCAGGCTTCTAGGTCAGAGTGAGACAAGTAGCTTGGGCCTCCTTTGCCTAAAACAACTGATTTTTGCCAAAAGCTGCTATCTCCAGGAAGCCCTGCCTGACTGCACCAGGCCAGGCAAGTCTGTCTCATTTCATATATCCAGGATTCCCAGTACTTTCACTCATGGGTCCCTTAGCAGTCCTGGAACAGTGCTTGTTATGAGTAGATTTAGGTCTGGCTATAAACTCATGAGCACCGGGACCAGGTCCGATTCCTGCACAGTGTCCTTGGCACCCAGCCCAGGGCCTGGAATATGGTAGGTGCTCGGGAAATACTTGTGGAATGAATGAGTGATGTGGATGGGGAATGGGGTTGGGGGCCCCAAGGCAGGAAAGGAGGAGGGAGGGGACCTGGAGAGGGGCCCGAGAGTGGCCTGCTGAATAACGTCCCCAACCCCCGAGCTTTCCCGTGATCCACATCCTAAGCCTCAGAACTTGGAAATGCGTTCTCTGATGTGGTGACAGAGACTTTGCAGATGCGGTTAACTGTAGGACCTTGATAAGGGGACCTTGATCTGGGTGACTGGGGGCGGGCGGGGGGTGGCCAGTGAGATCACAAGGATCCCTATAAGGGAGGGGGAGGCAGGAGGGCTGGAGAATGTCTGACATCAGGGACATGTGGTAACAGAAGTAGAGTGGTGTGGGGACAGGGGGCCATGAGCCAAGGAATGCAGGCGGCTTCTAGGAGCTGGGAGAGGCCAGGAAACGGCTTCTCCCCTGGAGCCTGTGGAGGAGCATGGCCCCGATAGCACCTTTTTTCCCCCCTTTTTTAAGATGGAGTCTTACTCTGTCACCCAGGCTGCAGTGCAGTGGTGAGATCTTGGCTCACTGCAACCTCCACCTCCCAGGTTCAAGTGATTCTCCTGCCTTAGCCTCCTGAGTAGCTGGGACTACAGGCGCATGCCACCACGCCCAGCTCATTTTTGTACTTTTAGTAGAGACCGGAGTTTCGTCATGTTGTCCAGGCTGGTCTCAAACTCCTGACCTCAGGTAATCCGCTCTCCTCAACCTCCCAAAGTGCTGGGATTACAGGAGTGCACCACTGTGCCTGGACCCTGATAACACTCTGACACTCTTGATTTCCGCCCAATGAAATCAATTTCAATTTTGACCCCCAGAAGGTCAGACCATACCTTCGCCTTGTTTTAAGCCCCTAAGTAAGTGGTCATTTGCCACAGGAGCTGCAGTCAACAGCTACACAGAGGAAACCCGGGGGAGAGGCCGCGCCAGGACCAGTCTCAACAGCTGCTCACAGGGAGAGAGAAAACGTCCTGCAGGTAAGGACATGGGCTGTGGAGCAGAGGCCCAGGGTCCAGTCCCCCTCCACCGCCCACTGGCATGTGACCTCGTGGGGCCACACAACCTCTTTGGGCTGCTGTGTCCATGTAGTAAAATAACAAGGAGGAAAAGTCACAGTGCTGGAAATGAAATGAGGCAATTTTCATACAGACCTTATAGACTGATCTGTTAGCACAGACCTGATATACCGAAAAATATTTGTCATCTTTACATGAGAAAAGTAAAGGCAGGCAGAAGTTGAGCTGGATCCTCTAGACCAAGAGACGGGAAGCTGGTTGTGTGTGTGTTCGGCAGGTGGGCAGGAGGGGCTGCCGGTGACCTCCCAGGCTCCCAGGGCACAATCTCAGGTAAGGGCCAGGGAGGGGTGAGGGAAGAACTTGGACAGGGCAAGAACAGAGTCGGGGCCACAGAACCCATGGCCACCAAGGAGGTGGGCCCAGCCTGAAGACAGGGGAACAGTGGCGGGCTCACCCCCGTCCCCCACACGCAGGGCTTTTGCCCACCTCCAAGACAAAGCGACGCTTGGCATCCTGTCACCGCCAACCCAATTCCCCTTTTTTTTTTTAAGAGGTGGGTGGATAGAAGGTATGACCAGTAACCCAGCTTTGCTGGCTGTGCCAGCTCAGCCTGACGGAGGGCTTCCTCTGTTTCAACTCTGGGAAAGGGCAAAAACGTTCTGGGACCTCATATACTGCGCGAAAGGGACTATTACTTAAAGAGCTTCCTTGGGCTCACTGCTTCCTGCCGAACCTGCTGGACCTAAATGGTTTGGAAATGTACATTTGAAGTAGTCCTGGATCTCGGAGCTGAATAGCTGATAAGGACTTTCCACTGAACAGACAAAGGTGTTGGTTGTTCAGTGGAATTGTAAAATACCACCAGGGAAACCCAGAGTGTTCACAGCTAGTCGCCTTAAAATAAACTTCATGATATGAATACACAGGTACAATATTTTTTGTCCAGATCAGGTATTGCTATGTTGCCCAGACTGGACTTGAACTCCTGGGCTCAAGCAATCTGCTCGCCTTGGCCACCCAAAGTGTTGGGATTACAGGGGTGAGCCCCTGTAGCCAGCCACAGTTTAATTTAATATAAGCAGGACAGAGAGAAAGCCAACTGAAGCAGTAAGGACGTTATCTGGGGCCTAAAAAGCTGCTTCAAAGAACCGTTATATAGACCAGACTGATAATCAAAAAGAAAAGCAATCACTAGTATCTGGACTGTTAGCCGCATGAAAGGCACATGCTAAGCATGGCACAGGTCATAGCTTGTTCCGTCTTCCCAATAACCCTGTGAAACGGAAACCAGCACCAGCGCCTTTGAGAGATGAGGAGATCGAAGCTCAGAGAGGTGAATTCCTTCCCCAAGTCACCCCCAGGAGCGGGGTTCAGGGTTCTCTGACTCCCAACACGCACTGCAGCAATGGCAGCCTGGCGCTCACCTCTCATCCCCCCATGCCAGACACCGTTCTCAGCGCTTGGTGTCTCTGAACATTTTTAATCCTCACAAGTATCCTGTGGGCATCACCACCGCCCCCATTTTGCAGATGAGAAAACTGAGGCAAAGAGAGGTTAAGTAACTTGCTAAAGGTCACACAGCTTTTTTTTTTTTTTTTGGAGACAAAGTCTCACTCTGTCGCCCAGGCTGCAGTGCGGTGGTGCAATCTTGGCTCACTGCAACCTCAGCCTCTTGGACTCAAGGGATTCACCTGCTTCATCCTCCTGAGTAGCTGGGATTACAGGTGTGCGCCACCACGTCCGGTTAATTTTTGTATTTTCAGTAGAGATGGGGTTTCACTGTATTGGTCAGGTTGGTCTCAAACTCCTGACCTCAGGGGATCCACCCACCTCGGCCTCCCAAAGTGCTGGGATTACAGGCATGAGCCACAGCGCCCAGCTGGTCACAAGGCTTTGAATGATGGACCCAGGGCTCAAGCCTAGGCTAATGCCCAGCCGCAGGTCCCTGGGCACCTCTCACATGGCCTCTCTCTGCCTCTGCACCAGCACCTGTGGGGACCTGTGTCTTTCTCACGGACCGCCTGGCGTCTGGAGCATCTCCTGTTAGGACCCCCCTCTCTGGAGAAAAGTGGAAAATGTGACACCAGCTGCCCTCGTCCTCCTTGAAGGTGGGGACTGACCACCGACAGTGGTCCCTCTGACCGGATCCATGCACCCCAGACTTGGGGTCACACACTGACTGCTGGAGCTGAACACGGGGAGAGGCGGGGGCCACAAAAGATCTATTTCTGGTGCAGCAAAGGGCACTGCGAGCCCTCTTTCACCGTGGCACCTGAACGTCCACTACCCTATCCCTGCCCTGCCTGGAAATGTGGGCAGAGGTGGTCAGGAAAGAGAGGCTCGACGTCCAAGTGGCCACACATAAGGTGGCTCTGGCCACTGCCTAGTTCACAGACAGGTTGGGAATGTTGCAAACGCAGGCCCCAGGGAGCGGCTCCATCCCCTTCCCTGACACTGCCCTTTTAACAGCAGGTCCTTGATCCTTCAGTTTCTGAGAACACATCCCATCAGTAAATAAATCAGGCAGATAATCTGTGCTTAATCCTTCATCATGCAAAGCTGTGAACAGTCCTTACACATTCTTGGACAGATTCTTGAAATAGATTACTCCCATCAACAAATCATGTTGAACTTGATTTAACCTCTTGAGAACCCAGGATAATCTCAGCAGAGTGTCCCAGGCATGGCTCTGTGAAACCCAGAGACCCACAAAGCTTGCCCCACAGCCAACGTCCCCAAACCTCGCTACTCTAAAGGCATGTGCTTCTCACTCTCCTGCCCAGGCTGGAGAGCAGTGATGTGGTCTCGGCTCACTGCAACCTCTGTCTCCTGGGTTCAAGTGATCCTCCTGCCTCAGCCTCCTGAGGAGCCGAGATTACAGGTGCACACCACCACACCTGGCTAATAATTTTTTTTTTTTAATAGAGATGGCGTTTCACCATGTTGGCCAGGCTAGTCTTGAATTCCTGACCTCAGGTGATCCACCTGCCTCTAATATCACTTCTAACATTTGGGTATTTGTTTTGAGAGGCAACTCTTGTGACATTCCCCAAGCCCACCTCAGTTTAATTTGTTCTTGTCGCCTGCTTTAAACTGGAAAACCACATAGACAAAATTTGTTAGGCTTAAAGTGAGAATAACAAATTATGAAATATGGCTTGGACCAGGCGCGGTGGCTCACGCCCCTAATCCTGGCACTTTTGGAGGCCGAGGTGGGCAGATCACAAAGTCAGGAGTTTGAGACCAGCCTAGCCAACATAGTGAAACTGTGTCTCTACTAAAAACACAAAAAGTAGCCGGGCATGGTGGCAGGCGCCTAGATACTCGAGAGGCTGAGGTAGGACAATCACCTGAACCCGGGAAGTGGGGGTGGCAGTGAGCTGAGATGGCACCACTGTACTCCAGTCTGGGCCACAGAGCAAGATCCACTTCAAAAAAAAAGAAATACAGTTTGGGGGGGGGGTCTTCGCGTAGGACACCCTTATCTGATAACTTCCTTCCTGTCTTGTGTGCATACATGTGCGTGTGCATGTATGTTTGAGAACGTGTGTATGAGAGAGAATATGCACGCCTACAATAAGCTAAGCGTCTGCTCCCTGACCCCCCACACCCGCAACCAATCTAATACCCCGTCGACAAGGGTTTGGGACTGCTCACCTCAGTGAGTCGGATGTCCGCAGGGATCCGGTCTCCGATGGAGAGAGATACCACATCTCCAGGAACCAGTTCTCGAGCAAGCAGATGCTGGAGCTTCCCTTCTCTTAGGCTGCATTTGACATGGTAAAAAGCAAAATCACCCATGCAGACATTACGCACTTTGATGCATTTGAGCAAGGAGAATAGAAACACATTTTTTTCTTTTAATTACAAACCAACCCTGTGCCTTTAGGACGTGATTATTTTGAAATTAACACATCCTAAAAGACTTTAAGGAAAGCATGTGGTTTCTGGGCTTTCCTGGGCCCCACCTAAAAGATGAGGCCACTGTGTTTATCCTGCCTGGAAAACTGCCTGGGGCCACAAGCCCCAGGGAGGCTCCTGGGGTCCCAGTCAGTGGTTCTAAAGCTTCCGAATGCATCCGGCAGAGTTTTGTCCTCAGAGCACACAGCACTCAGGGTGCAGAGTATGTCTCAGGAAGTCAGGGGTGGGAGAGCCTTGTCACAGCTGGGAGGAGCATCTTAAATGCCTAAGAAGCTCAGAATCTCCTTTCCCTCGGGGCCATGACCAGCTGCCCTCAGACTACAGATGTGTTTCTGTGCAGGCTCCAACTGGAATTCCCCCCACACTACCGTTCCTCACCTGTCCCCCACGTGGGCCCTTCAACCCATCCTGCATATGGCAGCCAGAGAGCTCTTAGAAGCCCCAAGCAGATCCCAACTCCCTCCTGCTCCCAACTCTCCAATAGCTTTCCCATGACCTTGGTACCAAACCCCAAGATCCCCCCCTGGGCAGGCCAGCCTCCTGCAGCTCCCGCCTCATTCCATGCCACCCCCTTAAACACACAGGCTCCTTCTGGTCTCAGGGGTTTTGCAGACCTCGAATGCAGGAGCAGACATTCCCCTCTTCCTTGTTAATGGAATTTGATCTTGTTCAGGTATCCACCCTCTCTCCATAGCCATGTGCCCCAGGGAGTGGGTCATGCCTGGCTAAGACCCCTGCCCATGAGTAGTTTAGGTATCAGCACATCATGCAACACTGGCCTGTGAGACATGAGTGAATGTTTGCTGGGGACTTGTGGGAAAATATTTCCTTACTGCATGTGTGCACATACACACACACCCCCTTCTTCTAAAGGGCCTTTGCATGTTTGGCTGTGATGCCTGGAGCTGTGGCAGCCATCCTGGGACCATGAGGGGAGCAAGCCAAGAACCAACCCAACCCCAGTGAGCTGAGGTGGCAGCGTAAGGAGCTGAAAGGGCCAGGCCCTTGGTGCTCTCCTGAATTAACTGACCCCACAGGCCCCTCCTCAGATCCCTGGCTATGAGACAACATAGTTTCCTTGGGGTTTGTGCAATTGGATTTTCTGTTCCTTGTAGCCAAGGGCACCTATCAGAGATCTACCTGCTGCTCCCTCAGCTCTTCCCATGGCTGGCTCCTGTTCCTCAGGCTTCAACTTAAATGTCACCTCCTCTCTAAATGTCAGCCTGATCAACAGCTGTTTAGGTTGTCCTCACCCTGCCACCAGTCACTATTACATCTCAGTGATGTATTTTTATTTGTTTTGGTGGCTTTGGGTATCTTTTGGCTTTCGTGTACCTGGACAATTCCAAAATCATCTTGTTTCTTCCGCGGCTCGTTATGTAGTCCCTTGTTAGGAATGCGAGCTCCCCAAAGGCTGAGGCCTCCTCATTTCTTCCACTTGTATGACCTCAGTGCCCTTTCCCCAGGCATACAGTAGGTACTCAATAAATATTTTATGGCTGCACCCGGGATGGAGTACCACAGGGAGGGGTCCCACACGGCAGGGTTTCCCCTGACTGGGAAATGGGTCTCAGGGACTCAGAGGTGGGCTCCACCTCTTCAGCACTCTTTCAACTCCACCGGGCTGCCCGACACTGCTGTTTTTGTAAATAAAACCGTCTTTCAGAAGTAACCTCACGGGGAGACATCAATAATGCACACTAGTCACCTGAAAGGCCAAGACTTGATATTTAAGCTGAAGATCGGATCCTCTGATCACATAAATCATGTATGCTTCCGCTTGCTCAGTTAAGGACATCGCACGTCTGGATTTCTGACAGCGCCGTCCATGAGACCTGGGAGTCCAGACGTTGCCACTGCGTCTGCAGGCCTTTTACAATGGACTCACACCCACGTGTGAGGCAATTCTATAGCATCCCCTTTTTGTCCCTGTTTGGTCCTTCGTCATTCTCCGCCTAGTATTATACACCCCACCTTGAACGCTGACTCTGAGAGGTGGGACCGCATCTCACCGCGGCCCCATGGCTCAGTGGCACAATATGTGCCACTCTCCCTGAAAGTTATCCTTCAGAAAATACAGACTTGCCATTTATTTGGAAATGCTGGAAATGGGTCTTGGAGACTCAAGAGGGTGTGTTGAGTTGTTCCCAGGCAACCCAGATCATGGGAAACTTTTTTTTTCTTTGAGACAGAGTTTTGCTCCTGTCACCAGGAGCGATCTCGGCTGACTGCAACCTCCACCTCCTGGGTTCAAGCAATTCTCCTGCCTCAGCCTCCAAAGTAGCTGGAATTACAGGCGCCCACCACCACACCCAGCTAATTTTTTTTTTTTTTTTGACGAAGTCTCGCTGTGTCACCCAGGCTAGAGTACAATGGCAGGCTCTCAGCTGACTGCAACCTCCGCGTCCTGGGTTCAAGTGATTCCCTGCCTCAGCCTCCCAAGTAGCTGGGATATACAGGCACCCGCCACCACACCCAGCTAATTTTTGTTATTTTTAGTAAAGGCAGGGCTTCACCATGTTGGTCAGGCTGGTCTCGAACTCGTGACCTCAGGTGAACCACCTGCCTCAGTCTCCCAAAGTGATAGGATTACTGCAATGCTAAAAGGCATGAGACACCATGTCTGGCCGCTATTTTTTTATTTTTAGTGGAGACAGGTTTTTACCATGTTGCCCAGGCTGGTCTCGAAGTCCTGACCTCAGGTGATCCACCTGCATTGGCCTCCCAAAGTGCTAGGATTACAAGCATGAGCCACCATGCCCAGCTAATCGTGGGATATTTTTTTTTTTTTTTTTTTTTTGAGACAGAGTTTCGCTCTTGTTACCCAGGCTGGAGTGCAATGGTGCGATCTCGGCTCACCGCAACCTCCGCCTCCCGGGTTCAGGCAATCCTCCTGCCCCAGCCTCCTGAGTCGCTGGGATTACAGGCACGCGCCACCATGCCCAGCTAATTTTTCGTATTTTTAGTAGAGATGGGGTTTCACCATGTTGACCAGGATGGTCTCGATCTCTTGACCTCGTGATCCACCCGCCTCAGCCTCCCACAGTGCTGGGATTACAGGCGTGAGCCACCGCGCCCGGCCTCATGGGATACTTTCTATCACTTTGAGTAGCAACGTATGTTCGGGAAAGAGAAATCAGCCTGAAACAACCCCAACCAATATTAGCAGGGGCTGGGAGAAGACATCGGCCATTTATTTCATTTTCTACAGGTAGAACGAGCTTTTGGACCACTGCAATGCTAAAAGGTAAGTTTAGAATGAACTGTATTCCCAGCCTGGGCAACACAGTGAAACCCCATCTCCACACACACACACACGTGCGCGCACACGCACAATCAGGTTTAAAAATTAAAAATCCAAAAAATGCAATCACTTTTGCACCAACTGATACAAAAAATTAGTCGGGCGTGGTGACATGCATCTGTATTTCCAGTAAGCTGGGAAACCAAGGCAGGAGGATCGCTTGAACCCAGGAGGTGGGCAGAGGTTACAGTGAGCCGAGATCCTGCCACTGCACTCTAGCCTGGGCAACAGAGCCAGACTCTGTCTCAAAAAAAAAAAAAAAAAAGAAGAAAGAAAAAGCCATTTTCCCTCCTGGACCTGCCAGCTTCCTCCACCAATGGCAGCTCTTCCTAGAAGGGCCCCTGCAGATGTTCTAAGCTGAGCTGCCCAATACGGTGGCCACTAGGTCCATGTGCATATCTAAATAAAAATTAAAATTAAATAACATTAAGAATCTAGCTTGTTGGCCAGGTGCGCTGGCTCACACCTGTAATCCCAGCATTTTGGGAGGCTGCAGCAGGCAGATCACATGAGGTTAAAAGCTCGAGACCAGCCTAGGGAACAGAATGAAACCCCATCTCTACTAAAAATATAAAAATTAGCCAGGTGTAGTGGCAGATGCCTATAATGTCAGCTATTCAGGAGGCTGAGGCAGGAAAATTGGCTGAACCCAGGAGGCGGAGGGTGCAGTGAACTGAGATCGTGCCATTGCACTCCAGCTTGGGCAACAAGAACAAGACTTCAACTCAAAAAAAAAAAAAAAAAAAAAAAAAGAATTTAGTTTGTCAGGTGCCACATTGGACAGAGCAGATGATATTAACAGAATGTTTCCTGCAAGTTCTATTGCACAGGGCTAGGCTAAGCAGAATGTCCATGTCATACTGGCAGACATTTGAATCTTTTCTCTTTCCTTGCTAAACATCTTTGGTAAGAGCCGTGCAATACCAAACAGCACCGTGGAAAGGTGTGGGCAGGAGAGAGGCGGTTACGGCTGCCATGCAGTTCCTCAAGCTCACTCTCTCTGTGCCCTACGCTGCAGCCAATGTTCTGATGCCTCAGCTTGTTAAAGCCCTGGGTCTTACTCTCTCCTGAGTCCCTTCGTTGAGAATTCAAATAAACCTCCACACCCTCTCCCTAGAAAAAGTACACAGTTCTACACACGATTTCACAGGCTTTGTGGAATACCCTCTTCCCAGAGTCACTCCCGCCACCTGTGGCCCTCAGGCTAGGTACCCTGATCTAGACACTGATGGGAGAGTTGAGGCCCACAGAGGTTGAGTGACATGCCCAAGGACACACAGCAACCTGTTGGCAGGCGGAGATCAGGCCTTAGAACTCCCAGTGAGATGTGGCTCTCTAGTTCGACACTACCAAGGATACAACTTTCACCAAACATTTGCCAGACTCTCCAGCTCCCTGGCTCCTCCAATGAGCCAAGAAGTCTAAGGGAGGCCCTGACTTACCAGTTACATTCTGGAGGAACCAGCTTGGTCAGCTCTTCCAGAGATTTCTCCGACCTGTACTCCTGGCAGGAGGCACATCAGATGTCCTGTTCAGAGGTGGGAACTCCACGAAGCTCCTGCCCTGCCCGGGTTACCCTGACCGGGACCTCGGGAAATACTCACCTGGATGAAGGCCACAGTGACCACAATGAGCACTGCCTAGAGAGCCAACGGAAAAGGGAGTCGGTGCCTGAGGCTCAGTGAGAGAGGGAATGGGCGTGGCGGGCGAGGGGCTTCTCTTTTATGATACATTTCCGTTCTTCTTGCAAAATAAGTGCATAGTGCAGAAGTTTAGAAAATAAACTAGTCGGAAAAGCAGGGAAAAATTCACACTATATTCTACTACGCAGAGGTGCACATTTTGGAGTTCCCTTCTAGACTGTTCTATGTAGACACCCTTAAGGCACTGCATCATATAATATGGACATATTCTTTTATAAACTGCCATTTTCACTGAACATGCTTCAAACATCCTTCTCCACAGCAGACATGGATCTAACCCAAGCCTTTTTTTTTTTTTTGATGGAGTCTTGCTCTGTCGCCAGGCTGGAGTGCAGTGGTGTGATCTCGGCTCACTGCAACCTCCGCTTCCTGGGTTCAAGTGATTCTCCTGCCTCATCCTCCTGAGTAGCTACGTTTGCACCACCACACCCAGCTAATTTTTTTGTATTTTTAGTAGAGACAGGGTTTCACCATGTTGACCAGGATGGTCTTGATCTCCTGACCTTGTGATCTGCCTGCCTCGGCTGCTCAGAGTGCTGGGATTATAGGCATGAGCCACTGTGCCTGGCCTACCCCACCCTTTTAATTGGAAACAGCAAATTCCGTCGTGGAGAATGAGTCTGTGTTTGTATTTTAAAACACGAGCTTGAACAAACAGAAACAAGAAGGCAATGATACCCTTCAAAAGGTGCTCAGGCCGGGTGTGGTGGCTCACACCTATAATCCCAGCTATTTGGGAGGCCCAAGGCAGGCAGATCATCTGAGGTTGAGTTCAAGACCCGCCTGGCCAACACAGGGAAACCCCATCTCTACTAACAATATAAAAATTAGCTGGGCATGGTGCCAGGTACCTGTAAACCCAGATACTCAGGACACTGAGGTGGGAGAATCACTTGAACCTGGGAAGCGGAGGTTGTAGTGAGCTCAGCTCATGTAGTGAGCTGTCCAGCCTGGGCAACAGAGCAAGACTCTGTCTCAAAAAGAAAAATAAAGAGAAAGAAAAAAAGCTACCCGGAGAAGTCAGACATGAAAGGCCATGTATTGTCTAAATCCATCTCTGTGACATGTCCAGAATAGGGTGGTTGCCAAGGGCTGGCAGGAGGGAAACAGGAAGTGTTTGCTTGGCGAGTTCAGGGTTTCCTTCTGGGGTGATGGAAATGTTCTGGAACTAGGCAGAGGTGGTGGCTGCACCATGGCATGAATGTATTCAATTCCACTGAATTGTTCACTGTCAAACAGTCAGTGTTTTATTACATGAATTTCATCTAAATAAAATAAAATGTAGAGTGCCCAGTGGTCATCTCTGGGTAATGGATCAAGGGTGTTATTCTTTGGAAGGCAAACACCCACAGCCCAGTGTCTATTTCCCCCCATCCCAGGGTCACGGGCAAGGAATTCCCTGCAGCACTGCTCTCGCAAAGACCCAGAAGCACCTGGGCGTCCACCAAGCAAGTGGTGGCCAGATAAACCAGGGCTCCTCGATATGGGGGTAAAGAAGGATGGGGATTTGCTTTCCTTTCTTTCTTCTCCATGTTCCTTTCCCCCCTCTACAGCAAACTCCCTTTTTATTTGTATAATAATAACAAGCAGAGACTCAGCAGACCTGTGGCTGCCCACCCGGGAGCCGAACGCCGTCGGGGAACTCACCGTGGTGATGCTGACGGCATCCTCGTACTCCCTGGTAACGACACTCACCAGGGCAGAGCCCAGCAGCAGCAGGATCAGGGGGTTCTTAAACTGAAGAGGAAATACACGGCGGGGACGTTCTTTAGTCTCAGGAACTGGGATGGGTTTCTTACCGTGCAGAAGCGTGTGTGGCGGGGTTCTCAGTTCGAAGCCAGGCTCCAGCCCAGGTCAACACCAGGGTGACCAAGGACTGGGGAGGCTGTCCCTATGCAATGGTCCTCCTCTGCCTGGAACTCCACCCCAGTGACCCCCCCGGGAGTTGTCGTCACATTGTCCACATCAAGACGTTGGCTTCGGTCCTGCCTTTGAGTTCACCTCTCTACATCTACATGACACTCCAGGCCAGGACCTTCAGCAAGATGCCAATCCTGGCTCAGCACAGCCAGGGACCCTCTCTCACCACACCGGCTCCCCAAATCCTGCACGCCCCAGTCACCAAACTCAGGGCCAACCTGCTCCTGTAACAGCCTCTGCAGATCCAGTGAGCCTCCTCCTTAAAACAGCTATTCCCAAAACTTCCTGATAAGATTTGTACTTTGTTTTATATGTCTGCCCCTTCATTTCAGAGACATCTCATGGTAGTGCGTCTTCCAGAGGACTGAAAGAAACACGAACATATAAAACCAGGTTCAGAGGGCAGATCACAGATCAGGATCAGGAAGAGTTAAAATATTAATGGGCTGGTGCAGAGGCTCACGCTGTAATCCCAGCATTTTGGGAGGCTGAAATGGGAGGACCACTTGAGCCCAGGAGTGTGAGTCCAGCCTGGGCAGCACGGCAAAACCCTATCTTTACAAAAAAAGAAATGAAAAAATGATACCCAGGAATGGTAGTGTGCACCTGTGATCCCAGCTACTCAGAAGGCTACGGCAGGAGGATCGCTGGGGCCTAGGAAGCTGACACTGGTCGGCTGTTTGTGCCACTGCACTCCTGCTTGGACAGCAAAGCGAAACCCTATTCCAGGAATAATAATAACAATAAATAATAATTGACCAGGTCTGGGAACCTTGATTCCCAGGCCGCCAGGCTCCTGTCCCTTCAGGACCTCTGCACCCTGCCCTCCAGCGACGCCTTCTGTCCACACCCTCACACAGCTTCTCTGCTCACTTCACTCAGGTCTCTGCCAAGATGCCACCTCCTCAGAGCACCAGCCTAGTGCCTCCCTGCCATCCTATCCAGAGCATCCACCTAGCCAGCCCGTCCAGAGCCTTAGGTTGTGCTAAGGTGGAATTCCAACTGGTGAGACTCCTGACACAGAGGAACAGGGCTACCTCGTGAGGTCGTAAGTTCCCTGTTACTGGGGGAAAGATAGGAGAGTCGCAACATTTGGCACATGGCAAGAACTCAACACATGTAAGGAATTAGTAAGCGAGTGCAGACAGAATCTGTATACTCATCCAGGGCAGGAAAACCCAGCCATCAGGAGCTCCCATCCAGTCCTACGAGGATTCACACAGATACATTGCTGAATCAACAAGGTATAAAATGAATGAGCAGGTCCTCTGCTCTCAAGAAATTTTAGAGATTTTATTTTGGGGAGCACTCTGGCTGGAGGCTGGAAGAAGACCCTTGATGTGAAGGAAGCTGTTCATGGTGGGTTGACAGGGCAGAGGGGAATGAGGACAATGAGGGGACGTGGGGGGAGCGGGTTCTAGTGGAAGGGGTGCCAGGGCAGAGTGAAGAGGGCTCCAGCTGCAGAGGGGAGCTCCTCCCTCACAGTCCATGTCTCAGCCTCCTTTCCTGAACCCCAGCTTCCGGGAGCCTCCACTGCCTCTTCTCAGCCCTGCAGTTTTAGGAAGCTTCTGGGCTGCCCAGAGCCACTTGCATACCCAGAAACCTATTTTGGTGCCAAAATGCACCCAGGAAGAACATCCCCAGAACACTGAGAACTGAGCCATGATCAGGGAGGGAACCACAAGGAGAGTGGATACTAAGGATGCTACATGGAGGACTGTGATTGGTTCCTGAATCGACCAATTGAAGAAGCTATAAACACAGAGCCAATAGGAAGGCAGCTGAAGCCTGGGGCGGCCCAGGGGCCAGAGAATGAATGAGGGAGAGGTCAGGGATGGGGCCAAGGGCAAGCAAAAGGCTGGAAAGGGGGATCTAAGACCATCTAATTGCCATCAGACACCTGGAAAATCCTGTCTGTTCACTGGGCCTTTCTGAGCTTGTCCTAGGAAGGTGGCAGGGGGTGCAGACTTCTAGACTGGAACTTGGAGCCATGTCAATTGCAGTATTTTCTTTCCTCTTCCTAGTGGCTTCCAGGCATTTGATTGTGTGCCATTCATTCAGTGCCGTGGCAGCAGCTAGCAAGGGCAGGGGCTCTGTGTGCAGCTCCCTGGCTGCACTTCTCTGCACTGCTCCTCACTGCTGTGTGACTTTGGGTTCAGGTAATAGCTTTTACAGGACACCCAATTACATCTCAATTTCAGGTCAACAAGGAACTTTTTCTTCTTAGTATAAGCATGTCCACTGTATTATTTGGGACACACTTATACTAGAAATTGCTTCTTACCTATCTGAAATTTACTTTGTCGGGTTTTTGTTATTGTTGTTTGAGACATGGTCTCACTCTGTTGCCCACACTGGAGTGCAGTGGTGCAATCTCAGTTCACTGCAACCTCTGCCTTCCCAGTTCAAATAATCCTCCCACCTCAGCCTCCTGAGTAGCTGGGATTACAGGCATTCACTACCATGCCCAGCTAATTTTTGTATTTTTAGTAGAAACGGGGTTTTGTCATGTTAGCTGGGCTGGTCTTGAACTCCTGGGCTCAAGTGATCCACCTGCCTCAGCCTCCCAAATTGCTGGTATTACAGGCGTGAGCCACCATGACTGGCCTGAAATTCAAATTTAACAGGGCATCCTATATTGTTTTTTGCTAAACCTGGCAACTCTGGGGAAATCTTTGAACCTCTGTACTTCTCTTTCCTCATGTGCAAAGCCAGGATTAGGAGGATTAGTAAGTGCATGCTCACTTATTCACCTACTCATTTAGCATGGGGCCTGAAGCCTGCCTGCTACACTGTCTATGAATGTGATCACTATTTTTTTTCTGATCATGGCTTCCTGGGGAGTTGGCGATTTGCTCACGGGGGATGCTCATGCTGACTAGGGGCAGCCTGAAAGAGGAGGAACCAGTCCAAAGATGCCTTCAATCAACACTGCAAGATCTAATGGCTGCCCCACCCTCCCTGGCTTACGCTTATTAATGCAAAGAATGACACCTCTGGTCCTACCTGATCCAGGTATTTCTTCCACACAGGTTCTGTAGTGTCAGCAACAAACTCATTCCAGCCATGGACCAGCCGGCGCTGCGTCACTGAGAACTCCGACAGCCCAGTGTGTAAGTCCACCTGGAGGGAGAGGTGAAGCACAAGCTCACTGATGGATCCAGCAAGGAATGAGGCCACAAGGCACAGACTCCCACTCTAGAAGGCAGTGGCTTCCGTGATGGGCAGGGACACGGGTTTGTCCACCCTGGTGCTGGGACTGGTTCAAAGACCCTGTGCAGATGGGACAGAGAGAGAAGGAAAATGCACAGTCCAATGACCATTATAATCACAGCAGAAAAGATGACCCCTGTTTCAAATTTCAGCAAATGGAATTGCAGTGTGGACTTCCTGAAATGCTGAAACTTACACTTTCTTCTTAAAAAAAAAAAAACGGGTCTGTAGGAAATAAGAATAAAAATTTCCTCTTCAAAGCTTTTCTCTTAGTTCATTACGAATAAATAACATTTATTCAAAGATTAATTTACTTTAAAACTTTTGCTAATAATCTTAAAGTAGCCGTTAGTCATAATAAAGAAGTAAGTACATCCCGTGTTCTTAGTTCTTACACTTTAACCTAGATATTTGCCCTCACATGTCTGGACAAGCCCAGGCAAGTCTTAGATCATAGCTTATTCCCCATCCTTATTTGGAAATGTTATCACTTCTCTGAGAATTCCTCAAGTTACGTTCTCATTTCCTTTATTCTCCTCTGCCTTTATTTCTTTAGAAAATTTGTAAGTTTTTAGACAATCGGGTCAAGCATAGAATGTGAGGTCCCATTCTGGCCATTGGAAACTGGACACAGCAGTAGGGCCATTGTGTCTGGTTATGAAAGTCATAAATGTCCTTGTCTCCTTTGTTCAGGTGTGCTCTCATGGCAAGACTGCCGGCGAGTTGCACCCTTCCTGCAGGAAGTAAGCTAGCCTTGCTGAGTGATCCATTGTCTCGGTGTAGGTTCTTCCCGGCGTTATAAACCTGTTTCCAACAGGTCTTGGGAATGTAAAATGGTGCTGCTGTTATGGAAGACTGTGTGACAGTTCCTTAAAAAATTAAAAAGGGAGTTATCAGATCCAGCAATTCCATTTTTGGGTATACATCTAAAGGAAATGGAAGTGGGTCTCAAAGAGGTGTTTATACGACCATGTTCATAGCGCTGTTCACAAAAGTCAAAAGGGGGAAATAACCCATGAATCTGTCAAGGGTTGAATGAATGCATAAATGTGGTATACATATACAATGAAATATTTCGCCTCAGAATGAAAGAAAATGCTGACACAGGCTACAACATGGATACACCTTTAAGTTGAACCTTGAGGCTGAAGTGAAATAAACCAGACACAAAAAGACAAGTTCTGTTGATTCCACATGTGAGTTACCTAGACTGGTCAAATTGATAGGGACAGAAAGTAGAATGGTGGGTGCCAGAGGCTAGAGGGAGGGGGAACAGGGAGTGAGTATTTAATGGAGACAGGTTCAGTTTTACGAGATGAAAAGATTCTGGAGATGCTAACGTACCCCTTAACTTGCTGACTGTAGGTCTTAAGACCCTCCCATGAGAGGGTCCCACCCTATAATCTGGGGGAAGGAATGCCAATGTCATGAAGCTTCCCTGAAAACCCAAAGACAGACTTCAGTGAGGTTTCATGTAGCTGAACACGGGGAGGTTCCTGGAGAGTGGCACCCAGGGAGATATTTGAACAACCATGTTCATAGCAGCACTGGGCATGGAAGCTCTGCACCCCTTCACCCAGTACTTGCCCTATACATCTCTTCAGCTGTATCCTTTGCAATTGCCTTTATAATAAATCGGTAAATGTAAAAAAAACAACTCTGGAGGTAGATAATGGTGATGGTTGCACAACAATGTGAATGTACTTAATGCAACTACAATGTACACTTCAAAATGGTTAAGGCCAGGTACACCGGCTCACACCTGTAATCCCAACAGTTTAGGAGGCTGATGTGGGAGAATCGCTTGAACCCAAGAGTTCAGAGTTAATCTGGGCAATATAGAGAGACCTTGGCTCTACAAAAAATTTAAAAAATTAGCCCAAGGTGGTGGCAGACACCTGTAGTCTCAGCTGTTCAGGAGGCTGAGGCAGGAGGATTGCTTAAGCCCAGGAGGTTGAGGCCGCAGTGGGCCTTGACTGCAGCACTTCACTTGAGCCTGGGCAACAGAGTGATACCAAGTCTTGGAAAAAAAAACATGGTTAAGATGGTAAATTCTATGTTGTGTATTTACCACAGAGATTTCAGAAAATAGGCCTGTCTTAAGAAACGAGTATTTTTTTTTTTAAAGATAAAACTGACAAACCTTTAGCCAGACTAAGAAAAAAAGAATCCAAAAACAAAAATAAAAAAGGAGACTTTACAATTCATATCACGCAAAGTCAAAGGACCATTAGTGGCTACCATGAGCAACTACATGCCAATCAATTGGAAAATATAGAAAAAAATGGATAAATTTCTAGACACACAGACCCTACCAAGATTGAACCAGGAAGACCTCCAAAACCTGAATAGAACAATAATAAGTAATAAGATTGAAGCCATAATAAAAAGTCTTCCAGTTAGGAAAAGTCCAGGACCCAATGAGTTCACTGCTGAATTCCGTGAAACATTTAAAGAACTGATACCAATCCTACTCAAATTATTCCAAAAAATAGAGGAGTAGGGAATACTTTCATTCTACGAGGCCACTACTACCTTGATACAAAAACCAGACAAATACACATTTAAAAAAGACGACTACTGGCCAACATCACTGATGACTATTGATACAAAAATCCTCAACAAGATACAAGCAAACCAAATGCAATAACACATTAGAAACAAAATTCATCATGACCTAGCGGGACTTATCCCAAGGATGCGAGGATGGTTCACCACACACGAATCCATTAATGTGATACGTCACCTCAACAGAATGAAGGGCAAAAACTGTATGATCATTTCAATTAATGCTGAAAAAAAGTGACAAAATAAAACATTTCTTCATAAGAAGCCCTAAAAAAAACTGGGTGTAGAAGGAATATATCTCAACATAATAAAAGCAATATATGGCAAACCCAGAGCTAGTATCATAGTGAATGAGAAAAAAACTGAAAGCTTTTCCTGCAGGATACCCACTTTTACCACTGTTATTCAACAAAGTACTGTAAGTTCTAGCTAGAGCAATCAGACAAGAGTAAAAAAAAAAAAAAAAAAAAAAAAAAAGGGCATCCAAGTTGAAAAAGAGGTCAAATGATTCTTGTTTGCAGATGAGATGATCTTACGTTTGAAATAAACCTAAAGATTCCACCCAAAGCTATTAGAACTCATAAACAAAATCAGTAAACCTGGAGGATACAAACTCAAAATACAAAGGTCAGTAGCATTGCTATATGCTAAGAGCAAGCAATGTGAAAAAGAAATCAATTAAGTAATCCCATTTACAATAGCTGCAATTTAAATATCTAGGAATAAAAGAAGCAAAAAATCTCTACAATGAAAACTATAGAAGACTGATGCAAGAAACTGAAGACACAGAAAAATGGAAAGCTATTCCATGTTGGAAGAATCAATATTGTTAAAATGTCCAAACCACCCAAAGCAATCTACAGCTTCAACACAATCCCTATCAAAATACCAGTGACATTTCCCCTCATTCTTAATTATATTTTAAGTTCTGGGATACATGTGCAGAGTGTGCAGGTTTGTCACATAGGTACACACATGTCATGATGGTTTGCTGCCTCCATCCCCCTGTCATCTACATTAGGTATTTCTCCTAATGCTATCCCTTCCTGATCCCCCCCCACCCCCGTTATCCCTCCCCTAGCCCTCCCACCTCCCAACAGGCCCTGGTGTGTGATATTCCCCTCCCTGTGTCCATGTGTTCTCATTGTTCAACACCCACTTATTAGTGAGTACATGCAACATTCTTTACAGAAATAGAAAAAAAAAATTCAGTTTACATGGAATCACAAAAGACCCAGAATAGCCAAAGTTATTTTAAGGAAAAAGAACAACACTGGAGGAATATTACTTAACTTTAAATTATACAACAGAGCTTTAGTAACTGAAATGGCATGGTACTGGCATGAAAACAGATACAGAGATCAGTGAAACGGAAGAGAGAACCCAGATATAAATCCATACATCTGCAGCGACAAAGGTGCCAAGAACATCCACCAGGGAAAGGGCAATCTCTTTAATAAACGGTATTGGGAAAACAAAATGTCCATATGAAGGAGAGTGAAATTTGATAGGGGTCAGATAAAATTTGAGATGACTATTATCTCTCATTATCAACAAAAATCAAATCCAAATGGATTAAAGATGAGGTGGCTAGATTACCTGAGCTCAGGAGTTCGAAACCAGTCTGGCCAACAAGGCAAAACCCCATCTCTACTAAAAATACAAAAATTATTTGGGTGTGGTGGTGCATATCTGTAATCCCAGCTACTACAGGAGGCTGAGGCAAGAGAATTGCCTGATCCAGGAGGTGGAAATTCCAGCTACTATGGAAGGCTGAGGCGGGAGAATCACTTGAACCCAGGAGGCGGAGGTTGCAGTGAGCAGAGATTGCACCACCCTACTCCCACACTCCAGCCTGAGTGACAGAGTGAGCCACCATCTAAAAAAAAAAAGACTTACATCTAAGATCACGGACTATGAAGCTACCAAGAGAACACTGGGGAAGCTCTCCAGGACATTGAATTGGGCAAAGCTTTCTTGAGTAATATCCTATAAGCACAGGCAACCACAGCAAAAATGGACAAATGGGATCACATCAAGTTAAAAAGCTTCTGCACAGCAAAGGAAATCATCAACAACATGAAGAGACAACCCACAGAATGGGAGGAAATATTCGTAAACTACCCATCTGACACGGGATTAATAACCTGAATATATAAGGAGCTTAACCAACTCTACAGGAAAAAAATCTCATGATCTGCTTTTGAAATGGGCAGAGATCTGGACAGACATTTCTCAAAAGAAGACATACAAATGGCAAACAGGTACATGAAAAGGTGCTCACTGATCGTCACAGAAATGCAAATCAAAACTGCAATGAGGTATCATCTCCTCACCGTTGAAATGGCCTTTTCAATAACAAATCCTGGATGTGGACAAGAGGGGACCCTTGTAGACTGTTGGCGGTAATGTAAACTAGTACATACAACAACTCTAAAGAACAGTTTAGAGGGTTCCTAAAAAAAACTAAAAATACGACTGTCATATGGTCCACAATCTCACTCCTGGAAACACAACCAAGAGAAAGGAAATCAGAATATTGAAGGGACAGCTATGCTTCCATGTTTATTGCAACACTATTCACAACAGCCAAAGTTTGGAAGCAACCTAAGTGCCCATGAATAGACAAATGAATAAAGAAAATGTGGTGGATATACACAATGGAGTACTACGCACCCATAAAAAAGAATAAGATCCTGTCATTTGTAACAACATGAATGGAACTGGAGGTCATCAAATTAAATAAAATAACATAGTGACCTCTGGGCGCAGAAAGACAAACTTTGCAGGTTCTCACTGATTTGTGGGAACTAAAAATTAAAACAACTGAACTCATGGAGATAGTCGGATGGTTACCAGAGCCTGGTAACGGCAGGTGGGAGAGAGTGGAGAGGGTTAATGGGTGCAAAAATATACTTAGAAAGAATAAGTAAGACCTAGTATTTGCTGGCACAATACGGTGACCGTTGTCAAAAATAATTTAATTGTACATTTAAAAATAACTAAAAGTATAACTGGGTTGTTTGTAACACAAAGGGTAAGTGCTCGAGAGGACGGTACCCCTCTACCCTGACGTGATTATCACACATTGCATGCCTGTGTCAAAGTATCTCTGGAACCCATGTATATATACACCTTCTATGTACCCATAAAAATTAAAAAGAAAAAAGAAACTTTAGCTAAAACAATTACACTGTGCCCAACACCATTCATGCTCTTTCCTTTTTTTTTTTTTTTTTGAGATGGAGTTTTGCTTTTGTTGCCAGGCATGAGTGTGATGGCATGATCTCAGCTCACTGCAACCTTTGCCTCCTGTGTTCAAGCGATTCTCCTGCCTCAGCTTCCCAAGTAGCTGGGATTACAGTCATGCGCCACCACACCCAGCTAATTTTCTATTTTTAGTAGAGATGGGGTTTCTCCATGTTAGTCAGGCTGGTTTCAAACTCCCGACCTCAAGTGATCTGCCCACCTCAGCCTCCCAAAGTGCTGGGATGGCAGGCATGAGCCACCGTGCCCGGCCTCTCAAGCTCTTTCTGTAAACAAATTCATTAAACGCAACTAATTTATAAGTCAGTAATAATGGAAGGAGTTTGTTGTTCTGGTCACAACAAAGGTGTCCTTGTTTTTTGAAAAGTCACTAACAAGAAAACAGTACTCACTGGTAGAGGTAATAGGGAAAACAATCAATTTCTAGATTCTTTTGAATAGCGAAAGACAATTTAGCTCATTTTCTAGGTAGGGATAACGTCTAGGAAGAGAAAAAATATTTCCTCCCCCTCTTTGAATACTAATAAACAGGGCTTGAATTTAAACAGACTTATTCTCAAGAAAAGACGCATGAAATGTCAGCTTCCAACGTCCTGAAATTGTAGCAAGCCCTTTTACTAGGGGGTTTATTTACTCTCCCAAAGTGTAGTGGTGATGGGTATTCATGCGTGCACACGCGTGCACACGCACACACACTCCGTGCAATGCAAATGTTTCTTGTTTTGCACTGTCCAGGAATTCAAACTCACTTGAGAAACTTGGGAGAACTTGGTTTCAGTACGTGGCAACTCCAAGGATTACAAAAGACGACGGGTGGGAATACGGGATGACTATGAGTTTGGCTTTGATGGGAAACACCCACACTCCACTAACGCTGCGCTGTGCTACCTTCTGCGCCTCAGCTTCATCGTCCATGCCTTCATGTTTCTGCCAACGAACATGAGGAATAAGAGAAGCAGTGTCCACAGGGTGCCTGAAAGGACGCCCGTCTTCCAGTAGGGGCCTGGTGAGGATTAGCTCTACTGACAAGGACTGATATTCTACCCCTGGAATCCCAACTGTTCAACATCAACAATCTTTTTCAACGTGGATGATAAAATTGTCTGATAACATGGAATTTCAGAGCACTGTTCAGGGCTTTGTGTTGTTTTCTTTTAAACATAATTAGCACCAGACGCAAATTCAATTCTTACACAAAACACGTTGGCCAAATCCTCTATATGGCATTTGCACGCTTCCTTGGGGGGCAGGGCTGTCACCTTCTTCTCTTTTTCGATGGCCTTCAGCTCATTCTGTTCATCAATCTGTAAAAAAACAGGGTTGCTGTTTAGCAAATTGAACTTTTGTACTGATGCGTTGATTGATTTTTTTAATTTAATTTAATATTTTTGAGATGGAGTCTCGCTCTGTTACCCAGGCTGGAGTGCAGTGGTGTGATCTCAGCTCACTGGAACCTCTGCTTCCTGGGTTCAAGCAATTCTCCTGCCTCAGTCCCCCAAGTAGCTGGGATTCCAGGTACGTGTCACCACACCCAGCTAATTTTTTCGTATTTTTAGTAGAAACGAGGTTTCACCATGTTGGCCAACTAGGATGTTCTCAAAACTCCTGACCTCAGGTGATCTGCTTGCCTCGGCCTCTCAAAGTGCTAGGGGTACAGGTGTGTGCCACTGAGCCCATCCAGACGCATTTTTTTAAAAGTATAACATACACACAAAAAGTATACATGTGTGTACAACTCACAAACTAACCCTTATAACCAGCCTCCAAATTAAGAAACAGATATGACTGGTCCCCAGATGCTCCCTCGGGTTACCTACCTACCTGAAAGGTTACTGCTATCACGATTTCTAGCCTCATACACTAGGTCTGAACTTTACAGAAGTGGTAACATGCACTATACACTCATACATGCTTTCTTGTCTGATTTCTTTTACTCAACACTGTTAGTGGATTGCATACAAGATGTTGCATGTAGCAACAGTTTGCTAATTTTCACAGCAGCTTAGTATTCTACTGTATGAGTATATCACAATTTATTTGTTCTCCCGTTGATAAACATTTGGGTTCCAATTGTTGGTTGTTGGCCGATACTGATGCATGTATTTTTAAGCAAGTTTTTTTGTTGTCATTGTCACCCGGGCTAGAGTACAGCGATGCAATCATAGCTTGCTGCAACCTCAGCCTCCAGACTCAGGGAGTCCTCCTGCTTTACCCACCTGAATAGCTGAGACCACAGGTGTATGCTATCACACCTGGCTAATTTTTTAATTTTTTGTAGAGATAGGGTCTCTCTATGTTGCCCAGGCTGAGCAAACTTATTTAACAGAACTGAAACCTGTAAGTGGACAGAGCAGGGCAACAATACACATATTTAGAATCCTGAACCTTGAACTTCTGGGATTGTCCATCGTTTGCACCATATTGTAGAGAGAGCCTCCTGCTGGTGATAGGTGGTATCGCAGCCTGGCTCTATGGGACATTTTAAATAACCCAAGAAAAGGGGAGGGGAAACACAGCCAAGTTCCGGGAGTCCCAGCACTCTGTATTGAGACCCACAGGGCTGGAAAGAAGCCATGTGAAACACCTGGAGGCTTTGGGAGGCTTTGCTAACACAAACGACACCTGAGAATCAGGAAAGCTCGAGGTATTTTTCCAATATCATTCCTAGTATCCTGATACCCAGGATGTGATAATCATCTTTTCCTTTTCCACCAGGTTACTGGAAACTGGGAAGAAGGAAGCAGGAGAGGTACTAACTAACTTCTTCCTTTAACTGTAATAGAGATTGCAAATCCCTCTCTTCCTTCTTGCCAGCGCCCTCCCCAACTCCAAGCTGTCTCCTCCCAAATGCTTGTTTGCTTAGAAAAGCTTTGCCAGCCACCTCTGTTTCCTGGTGCTTCTCACTGATGTCCAGTGCCTGGGAGCACAGCAGCAATTACACATATCTTTCAGCAGACGTAGCTGTCCTTTGGCAGCCTTCCTTAAGTCAACATTGCATTCTTTGTAGAGTCACTTCAAAGAAAAATGTGCATTGCACAATAAGACACCCCCCCCCACCACCATTCTAAGGATCTGGTTCCGCTATGCCAAAGAAAGTGCTTGATTCTTGCTCACATCACAGGTGGAGGCAGGCTGGGGGCTTACCACTCTCCCCATCCCCCACACTCCCTCAACTGCCTGGGTCTTGCCATTTCTCACCACTACATTGAATTCACTTTTCCTCCTTTTTTTTTTTTCATTTTTCTGAGATGGAGTCTTGCTCTGTCGTCTGGGCTGGAGTGCAGTGGTGTGATCTTGGCTTACTACAACCTCCTCCTCCCAGGTTCAAGCAATTCTCCTGGCTCAGCCTCTCCAGTAGCTGGGACTACAGGCGCGCACCACCATGCCCAGCTAATTTGCTTTTGCATTTTTAGTAGAGACGGGGTTTTACCATGTTGGCCAGGCTGGTCTTGAACTCCTCACCTCAAGTGATTTGCCCACTTCAGGCTGCGAAAGTGCTGGGATTACAGGTGTGAGCCACTGCACCTGGCTTGAAACTCATAAATCCCATCACGCACACACATACCTCATGCTTGAAAACACTTGCCTAGATTCCAGGGCTCTCAGGACAAGAGCCAGCCCAGACCCCACACATGCTACAACATGGATGAACCTTAAAGGCGTTATGCCTGGTGATGCCAGACCCAAAAGGACAAATCCTGCAGGATTCCACTTATAGGAAGTCCCTAAAATAGCTAAACTCATAGAGACAGGAAGGGGAACAGAGGTTACCAGGAGTTGGGGAGTTCATGTTTAATGACTATAGAGTCTCTTTGGGAAAGATGAAAGAGTTTTGAAGGTGAATGTTGGTGACGGTTGCACAACAATGGGAATATACTTAATGCCAGTGAACCATGCCCTTAAAATGGTTAAAATGGTGAAATTTATGTTCTGTATATTTTGCCATGATAAAAATCCAGAAGAAAAGGGCCATATATGGTGGCTCCTGCCTGTAATCCCAGCACTTTGGGAGGCCAAGGCAGGCGAATCATCTAAGGTCAGGAGTTTTAGACCAGCCTGGCCAACACAGCAAAACCCCATCACTACTAAAAATACAAAAATAAGCCAGGCACGGTGGCGGGTGTCTGTAATCTCAGCTACTTGGGAGGCTGAGTCAGGGAGAATTGCTTGAACCCGGAAGGCAGACGTTGCAATGAGCCAAGATCGAGCCACTGCACTCCAGCCTGGACAACTGAGTGAGACTGTCTCAAAAAAGAAAGAAATCCAGAAGAAAAGGATCAAAGGCACCCAAACCCCTGCCTTCGGGGGCAGGACTAGCAGGAGCCCCAACCTTTCTCAGGCGCTCTGGACATCTGAAGGCCTCGGGTTTTCTGCCCACACGTCCCTGGAGAATGAGCCAGGTGGACTGAGGAGGGCATGGGGTGGCAGGGTGCCGTGCCATGGTGACACTGGAGGGGAAGGGGGTTTGGCTGCAGAGACCTCCCTTACTCCCCTGTGTTTTATGACTGGGGGGGCAGAGTCCGAAGCCCAAAGGGGAGAGGACCCAGCCTCCAACTTCCCTCTGGGAGTAAAAGCCACCTACACGCTCCTAGCTCTGTAACCGAGGGTACTGGAAACAGGTACTCTGCTCACAACACCACAGTTCATGAGACCCAAAAGTTAGACACTGCCCAATACCCATCTACATCCACAGATAACAGAGAGGCAACATGTGGTCCATCCAGACAGCAGAGCATCAACTCAGCTTTGAACAGCCATGCAATACCAACGCATGCGGATGCTGTTAACTGTGGCCTCTGCAAAACCGTTCATTGAAAGCCTACCACCTGATACACGAGAATGTGACTTTACCCATATAGGGTCTTTACAGAAATGACCAAGGTCACATGAGGTCAAATATGAGCAATGTTCTTACAAGGAGAAATTTGCACAAAGACAAACATGCACACAGGGGACTCCATGTGAAGACACAGGAGACAGCCTGTGATGATGGAGGCAGAGGCTGGAGTGACGTGTCCATAGGTCAACCAACGCTGCGGACTCCTGGCCATTCCGGAAGCTCTAAGAGAAGCATGGAACAGGTTCTCCCCGGGAGCCTCCAGAGGGAGCACAGCCCTGCTGACTCCATGAGCGTTGACCCCCAGATTGCAGCACTGTGAGACAATACATGTATATTTAAGCCTCCACATTTTTGTACTCTGTGACAGCAGCCATGGGAAACTCACACTTGCCACAACACGGATGAACCTGGAAGACATCATGCTAAAGGGAAGAAACCAGACACAAAAGGCCACATGGTATGTGATTCCACTCACAGGAGATGCCCAGAACGGGCAAAGTCATAGGAGCAGAAAGCAGACTGGGAGTTGCTAGGGACTGGGGAAGGCGGAATGGGGACAAACTGCTAATGGGCACAGGGTTTCCTTCCAGTGTTTCACAACTGAATAGAAGAGGTGGTCACATGACATTGTGAACGTACTAGATGCCACGACATTGTTTACTGTGAGCTTGTTGATTTTGTTATGTGAATTTCACCTCAATAAAATAAGAATTTTGTTGTTTTTCAGGCAAGGTCCTGCTCTGTGGCTCAGGCTGGAGTGCAATGGCACAATCTCGGCTCACTGCAACCTCCACTTCCCAGGCTCAAGCAATTTGACTCTCCCACGTCAGCCTCCCAGGAAGCTAGGAATACAGGTGTGTGCCATCACACCAGGCTTGTTTTTTTTTTTTTTTTTTTTTTTTTTTTTTTGTTGTTGTTTTGTATTTGTAATTGAGACAGGGTTTTGCCACATTGTCCAGTCTGGTCTTGAACCCGTGGATTCAAGTGATCCACATGCCTTGGCCCCACACAGTACTTTGATTACTGGCATGAACCACCATGCCCAGTCTATCTTTTTTTTGTTAAAGCCATTTACAAGCTACAGGCAGGATCTCCCTCCACCACCTGGAAACTGTCCTCCTGACTCTCCTGGGTCCCGCCTGTGTCGGGCACAGCATCCTCCACCCGCACTACCCCACACCCACGGGCTCCCATACACCGGCCTCCCATCCTCTATCCTTGTCCTCCCCACGCTGGCTCCTCCCATAAACATTTGAGCCCAGGTTTCCACCTTAAACATCACCTCTTTTCTGGGACTTGCATTGGAAAGACACCTGCTCCTTCTTCATGTGCCAACATCGAGCTTTTAGAAGGAGCGTCTACACTCACTGTCTCTACTTTTTCATTTCCCATCCACGTCTCAACCCACTTCAGCCAGGTGTCCAGGTTACTCTGGTGTTTCAAAGCCACCAGGACACAGCCCTG